TGGCCCTGGAGGGATGCCATTAAGAGACCACCAGCCTTAGCAGAGCTCCTGAAGTCTGGACTCACCTAAGCAGCTTGGGGACAGTGAACCTGAAGACATCACTGATGAAGAAGCTGTGGGTCCGTCCCATGAGGAAGGTAGAATGAAACACCTGCCAGATGGCCCTCAGCAGGAAGCCCCACTGCCTCCATTTTGCCATAGGAATGGCTCAGTCTCTGGAGCCTCCATGCCACTGCCTCCTTTCCTTTTAAACACCATTGCCTTGGTGTGCCTTAGAGGAAGGGAGAGGCTGGCTCTGGGTCCCATTTGATACTCTCAGCCACCAGCAGCAGGGCCAGGCATTAAAAGCTTGTTTTCCTAACAATGGGCATGGGTGGGTGTGGATCCAGGTTGGCTCCCTCACCTGTGCCTCCGTATCACCCTGAGTACCCATCTAAGAGGCAATCACAGGCGTTGTGGGGGAAGGGCAAAAGGGCAGCCCTGAGGACTTTTAGATGGCCATGGGAAAGCACACACGGTGAGCACCTACTGTGTGCCAGACACTCCCAGTCATCCTAAGACCCCCAGAAAGCCAAATGTTGTTCCCATTTTACAGATGAGAAAACTGAAGCTCAGAGAAGCCAACTTGTCCAAGGGCACACAGCTGGGAAGTAGAAGCTGGGATTCAATTCCGTCTCTCTGCCTCCAGAGCCCATGCACTTTTTTTCTTTTCTTTTCTTTTCTTTGTTTGAGATGACATCTCACTCTGTCACCCAGGCTGCAGTGCAGTGGTGAGATCTCGGCTTACTGCAATCTCTGCTTCCTGGATTCAAGTGATTCTCCCACCTCAGCCTCCTGAGTAGCTGGGATTACAGGCAAATGCCATCACACCCAGCTAATTTTTGTAGGTTTAGGAGATGGGGTTTCACCATGTGGGCCAGGCTTGTTTTGAACTCCTACCTCAGGTGATCCACCGGCCTCAGCCTTCCAAAGTGCTGAAATTACAGGCCTGAGCCACTGCACCCAGCCTCCCATGTATTTTTCAATCTATCATGTTGTCAACCTGGAGGAAGAACAGCACCCCCTCTTTCACATGCACCACCAGCCAGCCCTTAGGTTGTTCTGAAACTATGGAGAATCACAGCTGATGTGCATGGGGCCTGGTGCTCTGGCTCTGGGTGAGAGCACAGACAGAGGCTCAGGCTGCCTCAAACTCATAAGATTCCCAGCCTTTGGCCATAAATAAGCACAGAGAGGAGCTAAAGTGAGGCAGGGAAGGGAGGTGGTAAGGGGAGGCCCAAGGGCCCTTACAGGAGAGGTCAGAAGCCCTGGCCATAATGGAGAGGCTGGGGCTATGCAGCTGCTGACAGCTGGTCGCTGTGTGCTCTAAGGTAGGTAGACTGTTCCCCTCTCTGTGTGTGAGAGGATGAGTGTGGTCCCCGCTCTGAGTCCCTTGTGTGCCTCCAACAATCTGTAAGGTTATCAGTAATTGCTTGCTTGCTTGCTCTTTTGAGACAAAGTTTCACTCTTTTTGCCCAGGCTGTAGTACAGTGGCATGATCTCAGCTCACTGCAACCTCCATCTCCCAGGGTCCAGCGATTCTCCTGCCTCAGCCTCCCGAGTAGCTGGGACACACCCCCCTGCCCGACTAATTTTTGTATTTTTAGTAGTGATGGGGTTTCACCACCTTGGCCAGGCTGGTCTTCAACTCCTGACCTCAGGTGGTCCACTTGCCTCAGACTCCCAAAGTGCTAGGATTATGGGTGTGAGCCCACATGCCTGGCCACTTATCAGTAATTTCAATCCCCATTACAAATCTCTGACCCGGGGCCATGTGCAGACATCAGCTATTTACATGAAGGAGCTTACTGACTTCCCTGGATCCCCTTGCCAGGTGGGTATTATTAGACTTTCCATTTTACAAAAGGGGAAGGAAGCTGAGGCTCTGAGAGTTGGCGATAGCAGCCAGAGTCACACAGCAGGGGCAGAGCAGGAATTGCAGCGTAGATCTTGACTTATAGTTCCTAGAGTGTTTCTTGTGCACTAAGGACCCCCAACCCAACAACAATAATAATAATAATAATAATAATAATAATAATAATAAAAGCATAACAAAAATCCCCTTGTGAACTCAGGTGGCAAGACCCTTCCAGGCCATGGTCTTTGTCCCTCATTGCTGGCCTGATCTGGTGTTTGGTTTGGCATCTATTACGAATTGTGGCTCAGCTCTGTTACTGAGTGGGCATGGCCTGCTGCTCACAGGTATTTTAGCATTTTCATTTCAAAGCCAAGAAGATGCCCGTTTATGCAGAGAGCATCCCTGACCACCCTTCCTGTCTGACCCCACCACTTCATTCATTGCCTTCACAGCCTTGCCCATGACACCAACCCTCTCTTTGTCTTCTTAGAACCCCAGGTGGGTAGACTTTGCCTGAGTTTTTTACCAAGATGTCCCTGGTATCGAGTCCAGCTCATGCACAGAGTAGGAGCTCAATAAATACTTGTCAAACGAATGGGAAAAGCAGACTGAGTAATATGTGTAAAAGGGCCTAACAAGAGTGCCCAGCACCTACTGTTATAAATATTTATAGAAGGAAGGTTGGAGCCTGGCTGGGTGGACAGAACTTGGTTTTGGAGCCAGGAGACTATGGTTCCAGTGCCTACTCTGTCTCCTCTCCTCTAAGCCTTAGTGTTTCAATCTGTAAAATGGAGTTAGAGAAGAGTTGAATGGGAAGTTTACTTTCTGGCTGGATATTTTACTCAGTTCAGTTCTAGCTGTTTGCCCAAAGAGTCATTGTGTTCAGCCTGCAGGCTCCATAGCTGGCATTTTCCTCTTCTGGAGGTCTTACCTCTAATCAAGGAAGAGGTCCAGATTGCTGTCTAATGTCTGGTCTCTGGACTGAAGGCCATTTAGTGCAGGACTTATAAATGACCATGGGGAAAGGCAGGGGTATGCATGAGTTGCATGGGCAAGGTGTGAGTTGGAGGATACAAAAGGGAGTGGTGAGGGCCGGGTGCGGTGGCTCACACCTGAAATCCCAGCACTTTGGGAGGCTGAGGTGGGCAAATAACCTTTTTTGCAAAAAAGCAAAAAAGGACAAGAAAAAAATTATAAGATAACTCTAATTATAAGGGACTATTTTGCACAACTCTGTGCAAATACATTTGAAATCTGCATTTATTACTATCCAATAAACTTCTAAATTATAAAAATGACCTACATCGGCTCTGTTCAATATGTAGCCACTAGTTACTTGTGTTGAGTGAATACTTGTACACTTAAACGTGGCTCGTGTGACTGAGAAAATAAATTTTTTCTAATTATTAATTTAATTTCTAATTATAATTTTATTATAATTAATTTAAATTTGAATGGTCTCATGCAGCTAGTGGCTATTGTATCAGAAAGCATAGAAGAAGATGAAATTTTCTTAAGACAGTGTTATTTACCAAAGTTAAATCCAAAGAGTATTTATTTTAAAAAGAAAAAGCTTAAAGAGACCAACTCTATAAAAGAAATAAAGTTATTAAAGAATCTCATCCTCTTCCTCTGACACACACACACACACACACACACACACGTGTTACAAGGAAAAGAAAAGCTCTTCTTTATAACACAGAACAGGACTTTGGCAAACTACTACTCATGGACCAAATCCTGCTGCAGACCCTTTTCCTGCAGTCCATGAGCTAATAATATTTACACAGCTAAAGAAGAAATAGAATATGTAATGAAGACCATATGTGGCCCACGAAGCCTAAAATACTTAGAATGTGGCTCTACACTAGAAAAATCTACTGGCCCCTGAGCTAGAAAATTGTCTGAATTTTAAAATCACTGTTTTGCAAATACCACCAAGGTAATATGAGATTCTGGCATGAAATCACTCCTAACACTAGACACTAACATATTGTTAGGAAAAGGACATTCATATATCTCTATTATCCATCAAATGTTTATTAAGTATAGAATTTAAATCGAAGAGATGAAACTTAGCTTCACAAATATTGAGATGAAGTGACATTATAAACTTCCTGATGCAATGCAATGGGAAACATAGTATTTGCGTAAACATTTTGTCTAATCCAGAAGAACAGTTAGATGAATCCAGTTTGAGAAACATTCTATGAGACAATTAGTCTGGACTCTTCAAAAATGTCAAGGTTGTAAAAGATGAAGGAAAAGGGTGGAGGGGAAGCAACATTCTAGACTGATGAAAATAAGAAACATGACCAAAAAAATCCAATAAAAGATCCCTGACTAATATAAACAATCTTTGAGAGCAAGTGGAGACATTTAAATTTAGACCGTATACTACATAATATTAATTATCAGTATCCAATGTCTTGTGATTGTTATTGTAGTAATATAAAAGAATGTGCTAATTTGTGGAAAAATCCCTTAAGTATTTTTGCATAATCTTGATGTCTGCAATTTGCTTTCAAGCAGTTCAGAGCTCCCCAAAATGTAAGTGTGTGCATGTATATGTACGTGTGTGTAAGAGAGAGAAAATGAGTGTATTTGTGAAGAGGAAAAGGGACATTGAGACATAAAAAGCCAATCCCAGAAAATGTTAATTTGTGAATCTAAATAAAGGGCACATGTGTCCTTACAGTACTTCTTTTTCAACTTTTCTGTTTGAAGTTAAAAGTTGGAAGAATTTTTTTAAAGGCACTTGTTTATTCAGGGTGAACATGATCTTCAAATTTCTTTGCTAGATGTTGGTTTCCTGTAGTTGTTAATAGTTTTTTGCCACCTGAGAAAATAAACTTTGCTCTGAAAGAAAAACCGTCTGTGTAGCCATAAAGCCAAACAATTGCTTCACAGAATAGGAGAAGAAAGTATGAAATTTATTGCAAGTAATATTGTTATAAGCTGTTATTCTTTTAATACAGTACAACCAACTAATAACTTGTAATGTTAGTCAGCATCTACTAATAAGGAGAGACCAACAGGCAGTATATTTATACACAATTACACTGAGACCAAATCCTTATAGCCTGAAAAACAATATGGCAAACATTATGAGAAGGTACAGGAGGTGTTTTTTCATAATTTACAGGACAAGAAATCACATTATCTTCTTCTACTAGATGATTAACTATTCTGGGAAACATATATTTGGGTTTATAGTTATGATAGACAAGGATACAAGGTGCATAAGCAACCCTGTCATCTTTCATTATTACAATCTTGCCAATGTGGAGTGAAGAAAAAAATGACACAAGTAGATAGGGGCATTGGCCTAAGAGGAAGAAGAACGAAGTTATGGCTTCAGCTCTGCTTCCAAATAGACCCAATAGTTTTTGGTAAATTACTTCCTTTTTCTGAGCTTTAGTTTCCTTATCTGTCAAATGTGGCAGCTGAACTGAATTAAGATTGTTGGATCTGCAAGATCAAGGGCCGTTTATTCTGCAAGGACTGAGAGACAAGATGGCAATTTAGAACAATTTCATAAGAAATAAAACTTGAATGTGATGTGAATATCAATCATTAGAATTCAACAGGACACTGGGAGAGGAGACCAAGAGATAGCTAACAATTAGCATCGGCTTCAGGGACTCACTCCCTTCTAAGACCTAGGGACTGCACTCGGTGGGGAGAGACACTTCACCAGAGGCCCAGAATGTTTTGGATGAAGAATGGCCACAAGAGGAAGAATGGAAATTACACTGGGCCAAGAAGATTTCCACTGACTCCTTGTGTGATACGACTTTTCTTTCCAAACCAACCAAAATCTTAATATTTTTGCTGGATTATACTTTTTTAATGAATTCTAGAAAGAAGTAATATTTGGAAATCAGGTAGCAGCAGAAATTGAAAAGTCCCCCAGAACTAGGAGAGAAAACTCTGAGGAAGTAAATCCAGAAATACCTCAAAACTAAGAAATTGGGGTGTATAGAGCAACCCTTCATTAAACTCCATCTTAGAAAAATTCTGCATTTTATATTTCATATGGGACTTTGTATCTTGTGTAATGGGGGGGGGGGGCTTCTAGGCCCCTGCTCTAGCACTTAGCTCTGTTTATTTTGATTGAGTGGCATGTGTTCTGACTGATCTGTAAGTTTCTTGAGTAGTTGGCATCTGGTTCTGATTTATCTTGTCCATAATATACTCTGCTAAATAATTTTGCTATCACTCTTGAATAAAGGAACTTTCACCCATATCATCTGAGGAGGAATTGAATGAAATGAAGTATGAGGTTAAGAGAGCAGAGTTAGGAAGGATATTTTAATTATTTTAAAATGCAGTAGGACTTAGTGACATGTTCAAAATAAACCATAGATTTAGATCTAGAGCAGAATTAATTTCAATATGAACATGAACCTTCTAAAGGTTAAACCTTATCAAAGTTCAAGGAGTGAGCAGGTGTAATGCTTACTCTGAGTCTGCTAAGACAGCTCTTAAGGAAAGGGAGACTTCAAGTTAGTACTAGCCGCTTGCTCTGTCAGTTGTTTTCAATGAATCTGTTTTCTTACTCCGTTCTTCTGCTGTTTCCTTCGTCTTTCATTGCATTATAAAGAAGGAGCTGGGAAAGAAGAAAATTGCAACTGAAATGAGGGAATTAAAGATGACTGGGAAAAAAAAGAAAAGAAAAAGAAAAAAGCTCTAGCGGGAAGCTCCACCCAGGCCAGCAATCTGTGAACCGGGCAGGGGGAGGAAGCAGAGCAAGCAAAATGTATCACCTGCAGCCAAGTAGGTCAGGAGGGGGAGGCGGGGGGAAAGAAAAAGAAATGGAAAAAGCTCAGCGGCAAAGAAAGGTCAAAGCAGCGTTCAAGCGAACAGACTCAGCCCAAGGCGGGCAACTGGGGCCCAGGCTCGGTAGTGAGTAGCAAAAGGAGAACACGAGCAGAACGCAGCAAGCAGCAGCTGTGTGGGGCCAGGTCCAAAAATCTGCGTGCTGCTCTCCAAAGCTGTTCCACAGCAAAAGTTTGTGTGTTCTTTGTAAACAAGTAACATCCAAAACTGTAATCCTCTGCTAAGGTTTAAGCCTTGATACTAAAGGGATAAAATTTCATACAGAAGTTATTACTAGTAACTTTACAGGGCAAATGCAAATTGTAATGTCATTTTCCAATACTTGCAGTGCTAAAACTAAAAAGCGGATGGCACAACTCTTAATTTTACCTTACATCAAATTAGGTCAAAGTAAAGATAAAAGAATTGGAGGATTTGGAAGTACAAATAAGCCCGGCAGAGCTGCATACTGGGCATATCAAATTACAAATAAACACCCAGCATGTAAAGTCACTATTCATAGAAAAAAAAATGTAAAGGTTTAGTTAATACTAGCACAAATGTCTCAATTACTTCTGTTCAGCACTGACCCTCTTCTTGGCCTGTCTAAAATGCTCACTCTAATATAGCCAGAGTGGGGCAGGCTCAGAAGTTTGTCAAAGCAGTCTTATCTTACCATGTAAAGGGACAGCCTGGACCTATTCAGTCTACTGTGACTCAGATTCCTATTAACTTGTAGGAAGAAACTTATTACAGCAGTGGGAACCAAAGTCTTAACACCTCAGCAATCGGATAGCTCCCCAAATCACCAAATAAAGGAGGACATGGGCTGTGTGCCTGGAACGGGAAGAGAAAAAATGTACAGGGTCTAAAAGAATCTTTAGAAGTTAAGGGACAAAGTTCTCAACATGGTTAGAATATCATTTTTAATGACAGCCATTGTTAAACCTCCAAAACCAATAGCTTGAAATGGTTAAGTAATAAACCAATTTTGATAGAACAATGGCCACTTACAAAAACTGGAGATTTTTAAAAATGTAGTTGGTAAACAATTAGAAAAAGAACATATAGGTCTCACATTTTCAGCTTAAAACTCTCCTATTTTTATAATAAAAAAAAATCTAAAAAACAAAAAATGTTAACAGGTCTTAGAGCAATTAATGCAGCTATACTACTTTCACCCACTATGATTCAAAAAAATTGTCTACTATTATTGATTTGAAGAACTGTTTTTTTGTTTTGTTTTGTTTTACAATTTCTTTGGCAGAAAAGAACTGTAAGCAATTTGCCTTCACTTTTCCTTTTATACTAATCAAAAACCTGCCAAAAAGTATTATTGAAAAGTGCTTCCCAAGGGGTGTTAAACAGTCCCACGATGTGTCAAACTTACGTGGACAAAGCTAACGAGCCCACCAGAACAAAGTGTCCTCAGTGTTCTATCACTTCTTACAGAACATTCTCTGTGCTGCGCCAGATAGAGAACTACTTATACAATGCTATCACCATCAGAAAAAAGAAGTCCATGCCATGTACTGGGTTAATAGTAGCTCCAGATAAAATTCAGACTACAACTCCTTATTTGGATTTGCACGCATTAATTACAAAAAAATACCACTATACCACCTCAAAAGGTGTCCATCAGAAGAGACCATTTAAAAACTCTAAATAATTTCCAGAAGTTACTTTATAATATCAATGTGATATTATATACTTCACATAAATACTTCAGCCATTACAGCTTATGCTATGAGTAATTTGTTTTCTATTCTTTGAGAAGATTCCAGTCTGCATAGTCCTCAAGAGTTAACCTAAAAAGCTAAAATGGAATTGCAAGTAATTGAAGAAAAAAATTCATCAGGCTCAAGTAAGTAAAATTAATGGTAACAAGCCTTTAACATTATTAATTTTTTCCATTTACTCTCTTACAGTCTCTTAATAATAATCTCTTAGGAGTTGTTATTCAAAATCAGGACTTAGTGGAGAGGCTGCTTTAACTTCATAATAGCACTCACACTCTTACTCTAGATTTGGACCAAATTGCAACTTTGATTGGAATGGGGAGGTCTCAAATTGTAAAATGCATGGATTAAATACCATAAGAATAATAGTGCCTTACTTGTAACAAGACTTACAAAAATTCAAAGTCAGCAAGCCTATATTCATAGTGTAACATGGCAAGCCTATTTGCCAAGTTTTGTGGGCACTTTAGATAATTATTATCCAAATAACAAAAAATTTTCAATTGTTAAAATTAACCGATTGGATTTTACCAAAAATTACTAAGTCAAATCCCATTGAAAATGCAGAAAATGTTTTTACAGATAAAATCTCTTAACAATAAAGCTTCTTATTCAGGATCTAAAAGCAAAGTTATTCAAACTCCTTATACACAATTGGGCCTGGCAGAGGAGCCAGGAAATGGTATAGCCAGAATGTACAACTGGACTTTTGAATCTAGGCCACACATATGCAGACTAACAAGTGATGGTGCAACCAGCTCAGGCAGCTTTATGTAAGGGCACCTGCTAGTTAGGAACATGCACCCACCCCAGACCCCAATCCCAGACCACCTGCCTGCACTGGGCATGGTCTCATCTTGGCAGAAAGGTGTGGGGGTGATGATCAGGTGGTGTGTCCCTGGGTCTCAGGCCTTAGAAGTTCCTTAGGAACTGAGCAGTCACTTGTCAGGGGGAGGGGCCCAGGGACCCCTTGTGTTTATTTGCCTATGGAATGTGTTTCTACCTCAGCTTCTCAGCCCTCACTGGAAGAGTCAAGGGCTCTCCCCTGCTCTATTTTTCCAGCTCTGATCCACTCACCTGGTGACTCTGATGGCTTCCTCACCCCAGCCTGGGTCCTCTTCTGTTATATGGGGGTCCCAGACTTCCTGCAGACAAAAGCCAACAACCAGCCCCACCTTGGTGGTTGGATCTGGACCTCTTTTTTTTTGAGATGGAGTCCCACACTGTCACCCAAGCTGTAGTGCAGTGGTGCAATCTTGGCTCACTGAAATCTCCACCTCCTGGGTTCAAGTGATTTTCCTGCCTCAACCTCCAGAGTAGCTGAGACTACAGGTGTATGCCACCATATCCAGCTAATTTTTTTGTGTTTTTAGTAGAGACAGGGTTTCCCCATGTTGGCCAGGAGGGTCTCAATCTCCTGACCTTGTGATCCGCCCACCTCAGCCTCCCGAAGTGCTGGGATTACAGGCATGAGCCACCGCTCCCAGCCCTTAGTTCTTAAAGTATAATTTTTTTCTCTCTTTAGTTTCCCATTTTTACTAAAGAAAAATTATGATATGATCAAATGTCTCTATTATACTTGGCCTGAATAGTTGTATAAAGCATAGTAACAATAATTATTTTTTACATAGGTTTTCAAAATCGGATTTCATAAAACTTTGTTTCATAAAGTGAATCTCAGATAAGACTTTTTAAAGCTGAGCCCAGCCATGGGTCTCATCCCTGAAATAACTACAATAATTATCCAGCCTGGGTAACAAAAGCGAAACTCCGTCTCAAAAAAAAAAAAAAAAAATGATAAAGAAGATATCACCACAGATTCCACAGAAATACCAACCATCATCAGAGATTAATACAAACAACTCTATGCACATAAACTAGTAAACCTGGAAGAAATGGATAAATTCCTGGACACTTGCATCCTCCCAAGACTAAACCAGGAAGAAGTTGAAACCCTGACTAGACCAACAAAAAGGTCTGAAGTTGTGGTAGCAATTAATAGCCTACCACACAAAAAAAGTCCAGGTCCAGATGGATTCACAGCCGAATTCTACCAGACATACAAAAAGGAGCTGGTACCATTTCTTCTGAAACTATTCCAAACTATCCAAAAAGAGGGAATCCTTCTCAAATCATTTTATGAGACAAATATCATCCTGATACCAAAACCTGGTAGAGACTCAGCAAGTAAAGAAAACTTTAGGCCAATATCCATGATGAACATAGATGCAAAAATATTCAATAAAATACTGGCAAGCTGATTGCAAGAGCACATCAAAAAGTTTATCCACTGTGATCGAGTAGAATTCATCCCGGGGATGTAAGCCTGGTTCAACATACACAAGTCTACAAACATTATTTACCACATAAACAGAACCAAAGACAAAAACCACGATTATATCAATTGATGCAGAGAAGGCCTTTAACAAAATTCAACAACCCTTTATGCTAAAAACTCTGAATAAACTAGGTATTGTTGGAATGAATCTCAAAATAATGAAAGCTATTTATGACAAACCAACAGCCAATATCATACCAAATGGATGAAAACTGGAAGCATTCCCTTTTTGAAATCTGGCACTAGACAAGGATGCCCTCTCTCACCACTCCTATTCAATATAGTATTGGAAGTTCTAGCCAGAGCAATCAGGCAAGAAAAAGAAATAAAGAGTATTCAAATAGACAAGAAGGAAGTCAAATTGTCTCTATTTGCAGATGACATGATTTTATATCTAGAAGACCCCATTGTCTCAGCTTAAAATCTCCTGTAACTGATAAGCAACTTCAGCAAAGTCTCAGGATACAAAATTAATGTGCAAAAATCACATGCATTCCTATACACCAATAACAGACTTAAAGAGAACCAAATCAAGAATGAACTGCCATTCACAATTGCTACAAAGAAAATAAAATACCTATGAATAAAACTAACAAGAAATGTAAAGAACCTCTTCAAGGAGAACTACAAACCACTGCTCAACAAAATAAGAGAGGGCACAAACAGATGGAGAAACATTCCATGGCCATTGTTAGGAATAATCAATATCGTGAAAATGGCCATACTGCCCAAAGTAATTTACAGATTCAATGCTATTCCCATCAAGCTACCAGTGACCTTCTTCACAGAACTGGAAAAAACTACCTTAAACTTCATATGGAACCAAAAGAGAGCTTGCATAGCCAAGTCAATTCTAAGCAAAAAGAACTAAGCAGGAGGCATCACACTACAGGACTTCAAACTATACTACAAGGCTACAGTAATCAAAACAGCATGGTATTGGTACCAAAACAGAGATATAGACCAATGAAGCAGAACAGAGGCCTCGAAGGCAACACAACGCATCTACAACCATCCAATCTTTGACAAACCTGACAAAAACAAGCAATGGGAAAAAAAGTCCTTGTTTAATAAATGGTGTTGGGAAAACTGGCTAGCCATGTGCAGACAGCAGAAACTAAACACAAACTAAGCAGAAACTAACCTTACACTAAAATTAACTCCAGATGGATTAAGGACTTAAAAATAACACCTAACACCATAAAAACCTTAGAAGAAAATCTAGGCAAAACCATTCAGGACATAGGTGTAGACAAGAACTTCATGACCAAAACACCAAAAGCATTGGCAACAAAAGCCAAAATAGACAAATGGGACCTAATCAAACTCCACAGCTTCTGCATGGCAAAAGAAACAGTCATTAGAGTGAATCGGCAACCAACAGAATGGGAAAAAAATTGTTGCAGTTTACCCATCTGACAAAGGGCTGATATTCAGAATCTGCAAAGAACTAACACAGATTTATAAAAAAAAGAAAAAAACAAGCCCATTCAAAAGTGGGCAAAGGATATGAACAGACACTTTACACAAAAGACATATATGAGGCCAACAAACATGAAAAAGTCCTCATTGTCACTGGTCATTGGAGAAATGCAAATCAAAACTACATTGACATACCATCTCACACCAGTTAGAATGGTGATCATTAAAAAATATGGAGACAGCAGATGCTGGAGAGGATGTGGAGAAATAGGAACACTTTTACACTGTTGGTGGGAGTGTCAATTAATTGAACCATTGCCCAAGACAGTGTAGTGATTCCTCAAGGACCTAGAAATAGAAATTCCATTTGATCCAGCAATCCCATTACTGGGTATATATCCAAAGGATTATAAATCATTCAACTATAAGGACACATGCACATGAATGTTCACTGCAGCACTGTTTACAATAGCAAAGACCTGGAACCAACCCAAATGTCCATCGATGATAGACTGGACAAAGAAAATGTGGCACATACACACCATGGAATATTATGCAGCCATAAAAAAAAGTTGAGTTTGTGTCCTTTGCAGGGATATGGATGAACCTGGAAAACATTATTCTCAGCAAACTGACACAATAACAAAAAATTAAACACCGCATGTTCTTACTCATAGACAGGTGTTGAACAATGGACACAGGGAGGGGAGCATCACACACTGGGGTCTGTCAGGGCAAATAGGGGAGGGACAGTGGGGGGTGGGGAGTTAGGGAGGGATAGCATGGAGAGAAATGCCAGATATAGGTGATGGGGAGGAAGACAGCAAATCACATTGCCATGTGTGTACCTATGCAACAATCTTGCATGTTCTTCACATGTACCCCAAAACCTAAACTGCAATTAAAAAAAAAAAGGAAAAAAATTTCTCTAAAAGTCCTACTAATAATAATGTCTAGTTTCTGGAGTTTATCAAAAAGGAAGACTAAAACATTGGATTCTCATCCACCTTAGAACAGAAGAGAACTTCTTCAACCTAATAAAGGGCATCTCAAAAAACCCTACATCGAACATCATATTTAATGATAAAAAAATCAAATGCTTTCCTCTTAATGTCAGAAACAAGACAGGCATTTCCACTGTCACCAGAATTTATAATTATACTGAAGAACTGAAGGTTTCACCTTGTATAATGAGGTCAATCATTCAATAAATAATCTTGGAAATGAAGAAATAAAACTTTCTCTTCATAGATGACATGATTTGTACTTGGAAAATACCAAAGACTCTTCAAAAAATTAATAAAACTAGTTGGTGAGTTTAGCAAAGTTTTAGGATGCAAGGTCAATATACAAAAATTAATTATAGTACTATATACTATACTATACAATTCTGTCCTATAAAATTAATTGTAGCTTTATATGCTATACAATTTTATTTCTAGTTGTTTATAATTAGTATGTTCATAATTTGTATGAGCAATTGGAAATCAAATTTTAACATGAAGCACTATTTACAATAGCACCAAAATATGAAATGCTTCAGTATAAATCTATCAAAATGTACAAAATTTGTATGCTGAAAACTGCAAAACATTATCAGAAAATATCACAGATAACTAAATAAACAGAAGATATACTGTATTCATGGATTGGTGAACTCAATATTGTTAAGATGTCAGTTCTCTCCAATCAATATCTGAGCAAAAGTTTTGTAGAAATTTATCAGCTGATTTCAAAATTAGATGGAAAGACAACAGATTAAAACTAGCCAAAAGAATTTTGAGAAAGAATAATAATAGCAATGTTGAAGAATTCACAATACCCAATTTCAATAGTACAGTAATCAAGATGGTGTACTTTTGATAAATACGATGCAGACAGATACATCAGAGACAATCCAGATGTAGACCCAAAAATTTTCATATAATGAAATGGAGAAAAAAATAGTTTTTTTACAAATACTGCTGGGATAATTGTAAATCCATATTTTTCAAAAGCTAATCTTGATCCATATATCACACCATATAGAAAGTAATTTGACACTGTCTCATAGACATATACTTACAATACAACACAGCAATCTAGATAATTACCCAAACAAATGGAAGATTGTGACAAACACAAAAGACTATATACTGTATTATTTCACTAATACTAAATTCTGGAAAAGGTAAAACCATAGTGACTGAAACTAGATAGATGGTTGCCTAGAACTGGGAATTGGAGGAAGGCACTCACTGCAAAGGGCCAGGAGGAACTTCTGGCAATGATCTCTATCTTAATCATGGTCATGGATACATGACTGTGTGTAAATTCCAAAGCCTACTAAACGTTACACTTAAAATAGGTAAATTTTATTGCATGTAAATTATTCCTCAGTCAAAC